TACGTCCTGAGGACCTCGCTGCCACCGTCCAAGCGTGCTTGGCCCCGGCAGATGAACCTCAGGATTAAAGGGTGGGCTCAGTTCCGCGCACACTGTGTCTCACCTAAAAAATCCAATGCGCAGGCTGGAAGGTGGAAAGACCTTCCCCGGTTCTTCGTTCGCGAAGAGACTGGCCATACATACATACATTTATATCTTTAGGAATTTCTAAAGCAAGCAAGTCTTACACTTGAATTTTGTCTGTACATGTCTGTCTGTCAGTTGCCTTCCTCTTCTCTCAGTAATATCTGAATTTATTCCTGTTAACTGATTTTGATGGAGGTATAAAGTTATCACAGAGAATTTTACTCCTTTTTCAAACTTGGTTGATACTATCCAGGAAATTTGGTGGTACTATTTTCTATATGTGTCACTGAACTAAATGACTGAGTAGAAAACTGATGCCCTACAATTCCCTGCTAGAAAGAAAGGAGTTTTAAAGGAGTTATGGTCCTTAACAGATAGCAGAGAATCCATTTGGGTACTCAGCCTTCAAATATAAATCTATGTTAAATAGTGCTTCATTGGTTCTGCTGCCCAGAGAATCACAATCAGTTCAGCCACTTGAGGGCTAGAGGGAGTAGTTATGTTTGTGTTGTCTGGCCTCCTGAACCCCTAGATAGAATCAATTAAATATTAATTGCTGACAGAACTACTATGGAATACCCTATGTTGGTAGGAAAGTGTTGTAATCTACATCATGACAAAGGTTTAAGGTGAGAAGGCCTTGCTGTCCTGTGTTGTTGTGCATGTTTCCTCCTGTTGCTGTCCATCTCTGAAGCAACCATTCAGCAGCCTTGGATCAGTGGTGGAGGGTTTCTTTAAAGATTTCTGCCTCTAGCATTTGAAAAATGCTTTTATATATTAACACCATATCCAGCTTTTAACTTACTGTCATAAATAACCCTTGTGCTGGCCGTAAAAAAAAAGGAGGTGGGGGGAGGACAGGGTAGAGGGTAAACAGTAATATCTGGATGCCAGATGTCACCATCATAGTGATGGGGCCAGTTCAGTGAAAAAAAAGAGAAATTCCTGGCGTGCATCTGTGGGGGTGAAAAAGCCCTCAGGGAACTAGATATGGACAGAGAGGGCAGTGTGGCAGGGACAGAAATACCTCTTTTTGGC